CGAGCGCGGAAGTGCAGCCGCCTCTGGGGGGGAACATGGTGGATCGCAATACGGGGGCCCCCCAACTAGCACTGAAATGCAGCCACCTCTGGAATGGGGTTGGCAGCTGTTTATACAGGGATCCTTCTCCCAGCACTAAGATGCAGTCACAACAGCTCCTAAACAGCCGTACAAGCTCGCTATGGTCCAGAACAGAGGAAGAAAAGAATGAGCCAAACTGAAACTACAGGCAGGAATTTAAGGAAGTGGAAGACAATTAGCCAGACTGGAATTTAGCCAGGAGACCTGAGTGAGGAGCCCTGCCCATGTAAAAACAGCCGTGGGAGCTTTAATAACAGCTCAGCACCTCCATGGAGCTCAAAGCCCAGTACGGTCCAAGGAGAGTCAGTAACACCATACAGCCGGGGAAACGGGCGCCGTGAGGGGACGTGTCACAGGCCTTACAGCTGTGTAGGAATGGAACCCAGCCCCACCCCCTGGCTCTAACCACTAGCCCCCACTGCCTGCCCACTGCTGGGGGACAGAACCCAGGAGTCCTGGCTCCCGATCCTGTAACATTTCCACCTGACCCCAACATCTCTTCCTGAGCATCTCTGAGGTCTCCCATCCAAGAGCCACCCCTGTTTACCCTTTGGACCCTCCCCCACATGCCCCACAGCTCCTACTGTTAGTGCCTTTCCCTCCAGGCCTCCCTGTCCACCCCCCACCCAATCCCCCTCCTCTCCTCTCCCCTTCTCCAGAGCCAGGCATCTCCCCCCCACAACCCAATTCCCCTCTCCCGCTAACCTTATGCCCAGGTCCCGGCACTGCTGCCCCTGGAGCTGATGCCACTGGCTGCACTCAGCAGCTGGCTGCTAGCACGTGCAGGCTGGGATACTGTGTGTAACCCGGCCTGCATGTGCAAGGTATGACATAGTGTGCTTGGGGCCACGAGTGGAATGGCGCAGGCCGTGAGCATGCATGCGGCTCACAGCAGCTCAGCCGTGAGACTGGCTGACCTGAGCGGTTCCGGGTTCCGTCCCGGTTCTGTCAGGAGCCGCGAGCCACGGGTTGGCCACCCCTGACATAGTCAATCAGGTGCCACTGTTTTGATCTCGGTGCATCCTTGTATTTATCGGTTTGCCTCAAGAGAGGGTTGGTAATCGTCAGGTCATTTTCTGCACACAAGCTCAGCAAAAGGAGACCATTTGCATTCATGTTACCAATGCCATAATGCCCCAGCACCCCTTTCCAGTTTCTATAGTCCTTGCTAACTCTGGCGTTGAAGTCACCCAACAGGAGAAGCTTGTCTCTAGGAGTTGCTTTCGCAAGACGATCAAGGTCCTCATAGAAACTCTCTCTTGCTTCATCGCTGCTGGTGAAAGTGGGGGTGTAAGCGCTGATGACTTGATGTGATGAGAGGGGTTGTGGAGGAAGCGGAACTTGATCAGACGCTCACTGATGCAAGTTGGTAAGTCAGGAAGCTGGCGCAGAAGTGATGTCTTACTGGCAAGTCCCACTCCATGGATTCTCTCTGCATTTTCTGGCCTGTCTTTCCAGAAAAAGGTGTAACCTCCTTTTGATTCGCAGATGGATCCTTCCTCTGCAAGTCTGGTCTCGCTCAAGGTGGATATGTCAGTGTTATAGCATGCCAGTTCTCTTGTTATGAGGGCCGTTCTTCTCTCAGGCCTCATAGTATTCTCCCTGTCCAAGAGGGTGCGAATGTTCCATGCTCCAAATATCTTTCTTTTCAGTGTTTTTCGACTGCTGTGAGGGTAAAACTGCCAGCATGCTGGCCAGTTTGGTTGGGACAAGCAATTTTTGGGACACCTTTTCTAGTCTCCTCCCTCATTTGAGGGTGAGCAGTGCTACTCCTAAAAATGCCTGCTCGGTCGCCTGTGATGTCGCCGAACTCCTCTGTTGTCCCGGGATCAGAGTCGGACGACCAAAGTCCAGAGGCTGCCTACGTGCAGGTTTGGGACTACTACTCCCAGGAGTCACCTCCACCTGTTGCTTCATCTCTCTCCCCCATCGCCGTAGGACTTTGAAGTAATTTTTTATAAACTGAAAGAGCTGAGAATGTGCAAAGAACCTGTGCGATAAAATGTTTAAAGTGGAAAAGCCGTTGCAAAGGGGCAGTTCTACTCTCTTGGCCTAAGAAGCTTGATTCCAGTGATACGAAAAGTCGTCATGGCTGGAGACTTCCTAGGCTGCAGTTGATGGCCATGGTGTCTTCAGTGCCTTCTCATGTCCTTTGCTCTCTACAGAGCATTGCAAAACCACCTTCCTGGTCGTTGGATCTCACTGTTGATCTCATCCACACAGTCCGCCGGAGCTGACTTCGCATGCTGGGGTAGGCAAGTCCCTATCTCACTGAAGGTCTCAGACCTGTCGGCTACCCTCAAGTAGCCCGCCTGTCAAAGCGGTTTATCAGGGTGTGGCCGCTGCGCATGTTACAGCTTCTTGAAGCCACAGGTGAGAGCTGAGTGCCAGGTGGGGACCAAAGGTGCACGAACTGCCCCCAAAGAGACATAACAAGTCCCCACACCAGAGGTGCTACCTCTTTCTGGGCACCCCAGATACCCCCACTCTCAAAAGGTAAATCCTAGAAATATGGATGGACAGAATATTATAAGGTATTTTTTTCTTTTTAGGAAAAAATAAGCCATTTAAAATGAAGATGCTCAAAATGTAACTGTTTCAGTATAGATGAGTTCATACAAGTATTTTCTTTGTTTGGATACAAAACTTGTTAGAGAGAAAGTGAACTTCTGAAATATAAAGGCAGAAATTACCTTTGAAGATAAGTACCTGTCTCACTAATGATTGAATGGTTAAAAGCCAGCACTTTAGCTTTATTATAATATCAACACCAGTTTACTTGCATATTGATTTATATTTTATATATGAATGAATCCCAAATGTCAAAAATATCAAAATCAAGTCAGTATAAAGTGCTGGTTTTATATTATGAAACAGAAAATGTGTGTCTTTTTTTGCTGCAAAATTCTAAATTGTTTGATTTAGTTTTGCAAACATTCAGGGGGAACTGGGCCAAGTTTTCAGTTTTGGGTTTTCATGTGATTCTAGACTTCGTTATAAACATTCTCATATATGTACTCTTGACACCTTCAAATTAATTCTAATTCAAGTCATAAGCATTGTTTTTTCTCAAAATTACTATTTTTCTTGAATGACACCTTTTGTCTGTTCTCTAGGCTCTTCTTGGGGAAGTAACTACTCACCGTCAGGCTGTTGAGAAAATGGCTGAACAGCAGCAGAATAAGTACCTGGGGCTTTATTCAATTTTACCTTCTGAACTCTCTCTTCAGTTAGCAGAAGTGGGACTGGCCCTGGTAACTATACATGATCAGGTAAAAACTTGGCACTATATAAATGATGATACTCTTCAAAAAGACAGTAACTGAATAAAATGTGATATTCCAAGCGTGATCATACTAAAACTCTCCAGCTAAAGTATGTTTTTCCTCCCTCGTTTTGCAGTAATGTCTTCCTCTGAAATACATATGTATGATTAGTTGATTTGCTTCTTACTGCTACTGTTTTTGGTAGATTCAAGCCAAAGAGAAGGAAGTTCAGCAGAGCAAAGCATTAAATCAAGAGTTTGGTCAGAAAATCCAGGTGATAGCAAAGGAATTAAATGGAATTCTGTCCAAGCTGAAGGAGAAGACAAATAATATAGCACAAGCTAAAATAGACCAAAAGGTAAGAAAAACACTCTCTTTAACCTCTTATACCATGAAATATTCTGAATGGGCATATTCCAGCTCCCAAAGGGTATGTTTCAGTCTTCACCGAGAAGTCTGGAGGTGTGCCTAACGTAGTGAATACAAGCAGAGAGAGGGTAAGTTTAGAAGATAGGATACACAAAGAACAAGTTAAAAATCACTTAGGAAAGTTAGATGTCAGCAAGTCACCAGGTCCTGATGAAATGCATCCCAGGATACTCAAGGAGCTGATAGAGGAGGTATCTGAGCCTTTAGCTATGATCTTTGAAAAATCATGGAAGACAGGGGAGATTCCAGAAGACTGGAAAAGGGCAAATATTGTGCCCATCTATAAAAAGGGGAATAAGAACAACCCAGGAAACTACAGACCGGTCAGTTTAACGTCTGTCCCAGGGAAGATAATGGAGCAGGTAATTAAGGAAATCATATGCAAACACTTGGAAGGTAATAAAGTGATAGGGAATAGCCAGCATGGGTTTATGAAGAACAAGTCATGCCAAACTAATCAGATAGCTTTCTTTGATAGGATAACGAGCCTTGTGGATAAGGGAGAAGCGGTGGATGTCATATACCTAGACTTTAGTAAGGCATTTGATACGGTCTCGCATGATATTCTTATTGATAAACTAGGCAAATATAACTTAGATAGGGCCACGATAAGGTGGGTGCATAATTGGCTGGATAACCGTAGTCAGAGAGTTGTTGTTAACGGTGCTAAATCCTGCTGGAAAGGGATAACAAGTGGAGTTCCGCAAGGGTCTGTTTTGGGACCCGTACTATTCAATATCTTCATCAATGATGTAGATATTGGGATAGAGAGTACGCTTATTAAGTTTGCAGATGATACCAAACTGGGTGGGGTTGCAACTTCTTTGGAGGATAGGGACATAATTCAAAATGACCTTAGCAAGTTAGAGAAATGGTCAGAGGTAAACAGGATGAGGTTTAATAAAGAGAAATGCAAAGTGCTCCACTTAGGAAGGAACAATCAGTTCCATACATACAAGATGGGAAGCGACTGTCTAGGAAGGAGCATGGCAGAAAGGGATCTAGGGGTCATAGTGGACCACAAGTTGAATATGAGTCAACAGTGTGATGCTGTTGCAAAAAAAGCAAATATGATTCTAGGTTGTATCAACAGGTGTGTTGTAAGCAAAACTCGTGAAGTCATTCTGCCGCTCTACTCTGCACTAGTTAGGCCTCAGCTGGAGTACTGTGTCCAGTTCTGGGCGCCACATTTCAAGAAAGATGTGGAGAAATTGGAAAGGGTACAGAGAAGAGCAACAAGAATGATTAAAGGTCTAGAGAACATGACCTATGAAGCCAGGCTTCATGAACTGGGCTTGTTTAGTTTGGAAAAAAGAAGATTAAGGGGGGACATGATAGCGGTTTTCAAATATCTAAAAGGGTGTCACAAGGAGGAAGGAGAAAATTTGTTCCTCTTGGTTTCTGAGGACAGGACAAGGAGTAATGGGCTTAAAGTGCAGCAGGGGAGGTTTAGATTGGACATTAGGAAAAAATTCCTAACTGTCAGGGTGGTCAAATATTGGAATAAATTGCCAAGGGAGGTGGTGGAATCTCCCTCTCTGGAGATATTTAAGAACAGGTTAGATAGACATCTGTCAGGGATGGTGTAGACAGAGCTTGATCCTGCCTTGAGGGCGGGGGGCTGGACTCGATGACCTCTCGAGGTCCCTTCCAGTCCTATGATTCTATATCTCTATGATTCTATGA